GTGTTCATGCTTTTTTTGTTCGTGTAAGACGACCTGCTGTGTTCCTCCTGCAGCTGTWAGAGGCCTGTCTGGCAACACAAACATATAGAAATTAACAGTGAGCCATTTTGGATGTAATAAGAGTCAATCATTAGTGCAGTCTTTAAAGGAACAGTCCACATGTAGAAAAGTCTCAAATAAAAAAAAAAAGTACTACAGAACTAATTTCTTTCTCAGGATTAAAATTGTAATTATCACCTCCAACCTGTTCATCAGTTCAGAGGATGTTGTCTCCTTCTCACCACCTGTGGTCTGTGTGAGAAAGTTACAGGTGTTGATGTTTCCAGGTTAGCCAGCTTCAGAGGCCAGGGCCCCTTTTCAGAAAGCAGACTTAACAAACCCTGGGTTAATGCAGATACTCTGAGTCAACTTACCCCGCTCTGTGATACTCAGGATTTTCATTTTCAGAACAGGTGGTATCAACTGGTAATCCTGAGTCAAGTTACCCCTGAGTTAAGTTGGAGCAGGAAGCCCTCATCAGTGGAAGTCAGACAATGTGATTCACCAATGCAACGGGAGAAGATAATAAGACMATGCATTTCTCGGCTGAAACTATAAATATTAATGATGGCAAATGGAAAATATCATTATATATTTAAAGAAATAAAATAAAAAAGCAATACTGTTGCTGCTGCAAGAGAAAGAGAGTTAATGTGGCAGAGAATTGATGATCATGTCAATGATTATGATTTTACATGAATCTAAACTTTTATTCTTTTATTTTTTATTTAAGTGGATAAAAGTGAGCGTGTGTGCTTTATGTGTGTGTGTAACTGAACCCAGCCAGTACTAAATGGACATGGCAGCAGATAAAGATTAAATATGAGAACTTAGTAAAATCAGGTAAGGTCTTATGTTCAACTTTTAACAAATAAATTACATAATTCACTGCTTCAACACACAAAATTATTGTTTCTCCCCCCCAAAAAAACAACATGTATTACTCCATCTTCTCTCTGCCAATATTTACTATRAGTTTATTTTACTTTTCATTGAGAATCAGAATGATTGTTAATTTTTCACATAAACAGCTGTGATGGACGATCAGCTGAAGAGGCTCCAGCTCCTCTGGAGCTCAATTTTCTTCTGTCGTTTTTTTTCCAGCAGTGTATTTCATTTAAAAAAAAACTGAATAAATTCTATTTGCAATAAAATAAAAATATATACTTCTGTAAGAATTTAAAACTTTGATCATAACTTCATTAGAGAGCAGAAATGTAAATGAAATTTGATCATTTTTCTGCCCCTAAAGCTTCCTGTGAAACAGCTACAAGCTGGACTTTAAAAAGAAAAAAGATTCAAACCTGAGCAGTTAAAAACATTTAAAAATTCTCAAACAGATTCATGTGGAAATGACAAGACRTCTAATCTTGGTCTTATCACTCTCTCCTGACATAAATTTCTGCAGATTATTAACTCCAACATCTACAGGTTGCTTTAGAAAAGGACACTTCCTGTCTGACTCTGTCCTCATGCAGCTCTCAGCTAAAAAGTGAGACAAACTCAGTTCAAGTGATCCTGCTGCAGAGCAGGGTTGGTTCAAGTTGTGGAGGTAAGTTAATTCAGGATAACTGCTATCTGGCTTCCTGAAACCCAAAACCCAGGATTTCCACTCATCCTGCTTTCTGAAACGGTGGTATTTAAGGCAGAGCTGTGTGTTTGTGTCCAGGTGCTGGAGGATGAAATGAAGTAATGTCACAGCGTTGTCCACTGATCTGTTAAAGTGCTAGGCAAACTTTGTTTTTACCACACCAAAGTTTAGCTCAGTATTGAAATATTTAGGTTATTTTCTTTTTTTTAGTTCAGATGGCTGTGTGTGAATATCCAGTGATTATTTTAACAATTTCATTAGAACTTGTCCAGTTCATGAAAAAATCTTAAAGACATGAATAAAAGCATTTATCGCCCAATTCAGTTTATAAATGTCATCATCTTGAATAAACAACTAAATTACTGTGTTCCATAAGTATAAGATTTTTTCATGAGTTTAATTAACGGTGCGGCATTCAACTTTTTTTTTCAAAAACTCTTTAAAACAATTACAACACATTCTTGCAACAACTGGTCGAGGCTTAATGCATGGAAATATCAAAATGTTGATTTAAAAAAATAAAACATGGGCAGGTTACAAATGAAATTCATTACAAAGTGTTTCTGTCTTTAAAACTTTTGCATTTGTACGGTATTTTAAAGTGGACATGAAGAAAATAAACAAGCAAAAAAACTAAATCTGGGGTTTATTCTAGAATATTTATGACTGGATATGAAATTTAGCTAGTAATGAAATTAGATTTACAACAAAAACTTTCTTACTTGGAGTTTTCATACAAATAAAGCCAAATAGTATAAATGGTGAGACAACATAAAACTTTCTATTCATAAATAACTTTTTCTTTCTAAAATAACTGCACATATGAGCTGTCCCAAAAAAGATGAGTGATGGTTTCCTCAGAGCTGTGGCAGAATCAACACGTTGGGTCGATGTTTGATCGATACCAGTTTATTAACAGAACAGCATCTATGCTGAATCTTTAGGCACACTTCTCAAATCTTATTTGTTATGAATTTTTTTTGTAACAACCAAACATTTTTCCAACAGATATCCTTTAATGAATTATTCCAGAAAAATACAGAAGCAGGTTTACTAATACAGTCCGGAATTATCAGACCTACATTTGTTTGTTAGTTAGTTTGTTTGACTTAAAAAGGGATCAGAGTTCCCAATAAATAAAATTTAATCAGCATAACTAGTATGGTTTGTACAGAAGTAGACAACATTTTCACTCCAATAGTATGAAACACAATTTGCAAATTCTCAGGGCAGAACTGGGAAATTATGCTGTGAGAAATTCATTATAGGAGTAAGTATTACCCTCTTTGTTAAATAACTGATGTACACAAATAATGCATTTCCATCCATCCATCCATCCATCCATCCATCCATCCATCCATCCATCCATC